AAAGTGGCAAAACCACGTGCAAATTCCGGGTTCTGAAACAGAACAGCGTAATCCGGCACAGGCGGAACCACGGCTTGCCGTCTAGCGGATTGCCCGGTGCTGCGACTATGGCCGTCTCGTGACGTGTGACCACGATGATCGGAGTGAGACATGGTAGATATGGCCGATACGCACTGTTATGTGAAAACGCGGAGATTAACCTCAAATCACTTATGAGGCCCTCCTTCTAGCGCCAAACTGTTGTTATGTGATTGTTAACAACGATGTAATCTATGATTAAGGGAGTAATTTGGAAAGATTTGAACGTAAAGCATGTAAAATTGCATCAGCAATGGCCCCGGTCCGAGGTGAACCGAGGTGAAGAGCCGTGAAGGGCTTTTACGTGTTATGTGTTAAAGAGTTTACAGTTCGGTAACTTGAGAAAACCGAGATCCTTTTACAATTGTCATAGGTCCGCTATTTATAGTAGTTTTTGGGTTGAGGCATCGGGATCCGTGTGCTACTTTTTGGAATAAAGTAGCTTTTTAAGGGCGGTTCGAGGCAGAGGGTCCCACGCAAATGATGATAGATCTTGTGGAGTAGGAGGACCTCACGTAGACGCCTTGTCACCTGCTTAAGGAGATGACGACCTCGGTTCATGTTGTCCTCGGGGGATGTTGACCTCGGTAATCGTCGGTCACTTCGGTCTTTGGTGATTCAGACCGGTTCTCTGGTGTAGATTGGTGCGGTTATGATTCATGTCGGTTTAACTGTTAATTGCGTTTAATAAGATGCTCAAAACCTCTTAACAGCGTCTTGCCGAGTCGGATGATAACAAATATTTTTTTCAAAATTTTCTCATTTGGAAATATATATTTTTTTTAAAAAATAAGTCCCCGGTACACAAAGATGTAAAAGGAAGGAGTTCACCTTATCAAAGAGAGGTAGTCGCGTGGCACACCATTGGTGCCTCCCAACAAGCGCTTTTTTTTATTGTCGTTGGCTCGACTTATTGTTCCGCTTTCTTCAAACGGACCATGGAGGCTTCATAGGCGGCCTCAATGGAGGCATGAACCTTGAAGCTCCATTTTGTGAAGGATCCCCTCGTCCGGTGTCGGGTGCTTGACCGGATCTTTTCTTCTCGGTGGTAGATCATCATAGAAAAACACTAGCCCGAGATCATGAGTAAGAGGAAAAATCTCAACCACCTCAAGGATGTAAGACTCTTGATTCTCAATATGCTCGGCTGCTGGACGTTCGATCTCGGATAGAAGAGATTGAATTTCAGTCATGTTCGGGGCAATTGATGGAGCTTTTACGTTGTTTGTCCTATTTTTGTGTCTTTATTTTGGGTTATTTTCTCTTTATTATTCCCCACTTATAGGATTTTCGTGGTTTATTTGGTCCAATTCTATGTTTTTCTGTTTTTCTCTTTAGTTTCTTTTGGTGCGTCTTTTTGCTGTGTTTTGCTTCGTGTTTTCTCTGTGTTTGTGTTTTCAGGAGGTAGGTTGTGTCGGCCGAGGATGAGACTGCTAGAGCTGAGACCGGGAAATCAGGAATACCCATAGTCGTGCCCAGAACACTGAAGGAAGGACCGGAAAAACGGACTGAAGAGCTGCCCAGCATTTCTCGCGACTCGCGAGTCAAAGTCGCGACTCGCGAGATGGTCGCGACTCGCGAGTCCAACAGAGCGAATTCAAGATTTTCACGAGATGAGTTGCGACTCGCGAGTCTATGTCGCGACTCGCGAGACATGGCGCGATTTACCCCAGATTTTAAATATTTTCGAAGACGCGCGACTCGCGAGATTTCGCGACTCGCGACTCGGTAAAAGCGGATATCGCGACTCGCGACTTACGCGGCGCGATTTTCGAGGACGGGTTTTGAACATCAGAATTTCAACCTAGACATAATTATTCACATTCCAGACTTCGTTTTTACACTTTTTCTCTCTAGAAACTCATTCCTTTTCATACTTTTGCTATTTTGGATTGGTTTTGGAGATTAAAACTCTGTTTTCTGGCTTGGATTTGGATTGTTCAGTGGATTTGACATTGGGATTCTTTTATTAAT